TGTACTTGTGACACTTCAGGGTGTTATTATAGATGACTTAGCTTTTTCTGCAGATAAGATTCTAGAAATAACTAAAAAATAAAAAGCGGCATCCGTCGCCGGTCGCACTAGCCGCCTACTTTACATCCATGATGTGATAAGCCAGACTCGATATTTAGTTGACACAGGCGCCGAAGTCAGCGTCCTTCCCGCTACAGCAGCAGATCGACAGAAGGAACCTACCTTCGACTTACAGGCTGCAGATGGAAAACCAATTTGGTAGGAAATACGTTTATCTGAACGCAGGTTTACGCAAACCTATTCAGTGAATTTTCCTTCTCGCTGACGTCACAATGCCCATCATTGGCATGGACCTACTTAGTCATCATGATTTACTCGTAGACGTCTGCCGAAAATGACTGATTGACAATACTACTAGTCTGTCTATCAAAGGCATCACCTATATAGGCCCCAGCTTGTCACTTGTTAAGATAATGGCAATCCTTGATCCAACTTTTCAACCGATTCTTGATCAATATCCGTAACTTAATCGTCCGTCTAACGATCTACCGTGCATAACCAGCAATGTTAGGCACCATATCATAACCTCAGGCCAACTGTGACATCTAAAGCACAACGACTTGCTCCTGACAAACTGAGACTTGACGGAAATGAGTTCGACCATATGCTCACCCTTGCCATCGAATAGCCCATGGGTATCCCCACTCAATGTGGTACAAAAAGATAGCAACGATTGGTGACTCGCTGGTGATTACAATTGAGTGAATGCCAAAACAACCCCTGACTGCTATCCATTGCCTCACATGCATGACTTGACGGCAACATTATCTGCTGCAACTATTTTTTCGAGAATTGACTTTGTTAAGGCATATAGCCAAGTCCCGATGGCACCAGATGACATTCCGAAAACGGCTATCATTAGTCCTATCAGACTTTGAATTTCTGCGTATGTAATTTAGTATCCGATGCGCAACACAAACATTCCAACGCTTCACCGACGAAGTATTTCGCGGTCTCGACTTTGTATACGCATACTTAGACGACTGCCTCACTGCCGTTCCAGTCAAGGAAACTCACCTCAGATACTTGGACTTGGCGTTCGAAAGGCTACGCCTACATGGTGTTACCATCAATATTCGAAAGTGTCAGACAGGCGTTGACTCACTCGATTTCCTGGGTCACACTATTGACTGCAAGGCCATTCGCCCACTGGCTACTAAGGTCGAGGCGATACAGAACTTTCCAGAGCCACAGACAGTGAAAGGTCTGCGCACTTTCAACGGCTTGGTAAGCTATTATCGACGATTTATTCCCAACTGTGCCTCTCTGATTCAGCCATTGACAGACCTTCGAGAGAATAACAAGTCCATCGAATTTGACGCGTCTGCTTAAAATGCTTTCACTCAGGTTAAAAGAGCTATTGCAGATGCCACATTTCTAATGTATCAGGATCCAATGGCATGGTTAACCATCTCGGTTGATGCATCAAACACTGCGATCGGCGCAGTCCTGCAACAACTACCCAACGAAGAGTGGCAACCACTCGCCTTTTTTCGAGGCGCCTTCAGTTAGCAGAAACGAAGTACAGCACATTCGGCAGAGAACTTCTGGCTGCGTACTGTGCTATACGTCATTTTCAACATTCAGTGGAGGGTCGTGACTTCATATTTTCACTGGCCACAAACCTCTGAATTACTCTCTGAATTCAACTTCAGATAAGCATTCACGTAGAGAATCATGACAACTGGATTATGTTTCACAATTTATATCGTATGTTCGCCATATATCTGCAGTGAACAACAATGTGGCAGATGCCTTGTCGCGCATTTGTTCCCTCACCCAAATAGACTGCATAGACCATGTGAAACTGGCTCGTCTTCAAAAAGAAGATACCGAGCTTCAACATGAGTTGTCAAAAACAGCTCTGCAATTGGCTGAGAAACCCTTAGGTATGGAAGAGATATCATTCTATGCTACATTTCCACGAATACTCCTCGCCCCATCGTGTCTAAAAGTTATCGCCATAACGTCTTCAATACGTTGCATGGCTTATCCCACCCAGGTATTCGAACTACTGTCAAGCTAGTAACTAGTCGGTTTTGTTGGCCTGGCATTAATAAAGAAGTAAAGGAATGGGCGCACATGTGCTTAGCTTGTCTAAAGTGCAAGGTGATAAGACACACGAAAAGCCCTCTTGGCACCTTTCTTAGCCCTGATGCTCGTTTCGAAAACGTTCATATAAATTTGGTTGGACCCTTTCCAGAATCTCATGGATATACCTATATTTTAACCTGCATCGACCGTTCCACACGATGGCCGGAAGCAGTATCCCTCAAGGATGTATCTGCTGAAACAGTCACACGCGTCTTTGTCGAACGATGGATCGAAAACTTCGAATGCCCATCCTCAATTACAATTGATCCCGGGTGGCGATTCGACAGTGAGTTTTACTTCGCCCTGACTAAAATCGGAGGTTCATTGCGTTTTAGAACAAAAGCCTACCATTCTCAAGCTAGTGGTATGGTAACGCGACAGTTGAAACCTGGGTTATCAGCTGCAAACAATCTACATTGGACTGAATCACTACCGCTAGTCCTCCTAGGGATACGAAACGCCTTGAAAACCGATGCTGGTTGTACTAACGCCGAACTAGTATATGGCAAAACACTACAACTGCCAGGTGGGTTTGTTTTTGCCTCTACATTTCCACCAGCGGTAGATCATGCTTCATGCGTCAGCAGGCTCACAAATGCAGTGCGTTCAGTTAAACCTGCTCTCCTTCACCCGTGTTTGAAAACTTCTTCACATTTATTTGTTAGTCGTGACTCAGTGCGTAGCCCTCTGGAACCCCCCATACGACGGACCATATAAAGTCATTAAACGTATGGAAAAATTCTTTGTCTCAGACCCAAAGCCGGACTACTTAGAAGGCAATCCTATTAGGCTAGAACTGAGCATTCTTAATAACACACAAGTAACCGAATATCCGTTAATCTTCGAAGAAATCACAGGCACGGCGAAAGCCACCGAAGCTTCTCTCGAGACCTCAACGAAAACACGTTCTGGACGAAACGTGGGATTTCCAAAACATTTTCACACTTTTATAACATAGCTAAGTGGTGCGATTCATTCAACTCATTGGTTTGTGATATTTATTATTTTTTCTTTTCAGACACATCAATTCTTCATATTGCAACCCATAAACACAAGTGAAAAACTTTCTTCTATTACCGTACATGTTACATCCACTAAAAAAATTAGATATATACTTTTTTCGATGTTCTATTTTTCGCACTATTTTACTTTACAGTAGATTGACATCATTTTTTAAGCGCTGATTTGTTACATTTTCCTCAACGAGGTTCTTAGCATTCCTGTTTTCTTTCCAGGTGCGACGGGCACTGGACAAGAAACAAATGAAGCACGGGATCCAACGGACAACAATAAGCAGGCGATCTACAGATACCCTATTAGAATAGGTAGGCGAACTAGTAGGCGCTCCACCAATCCCTTAGGAAGTTTTTTCACCCATAAGGGAACCATCGAGTTTTTTACTCACGGCTGGTTCTGTCTTAGGGTCCTCACAATCCCACTAGTGGGGAAGTGCGTTGTAGCGGTAAATAATTCACCAAAATTATTGACCACAGTAATCATCACTAAACATTGGATGCTGACCGTCACTGTTTAAGTCGACTTGTTTAGCTGAAACATTCCGGTCAAGTATCCATGCCATTTGATACTCCGTCGAGTCACGTTCGTGCACGATCACTAGCCAGTTAAGCAGTCGTCTCGGTCTACGATTTCGTCCCGAAATATATCTCGTAATTTTGACGATCAAACCTGGTGTTTTGCTTTGCCTTCGTACTATCCGTGAACAACAATACCGCCAGCCTCCAAACTTTCATTCTCCTTTCATCAAGAGTTTTGACTGGGCAAATATCAATTAATAAAACCTGTAATACTACTTCTAGTTGTGTTGGTGTTCTTGAAAACGACTAGTCGGTGGTTGCATTCGACAGAGTGCTGATGGAAATAGCAAGTAATATACTATGCGGCCATAGCAAAGATAGCTTGTGAAAAATCGAATGCCAGCCTCAATTGAGTTGGCCCGATGTTCTTCTTATAGTTTGCAAAGCATTTCAGCACTGTTTCACGTTCACCTCAGTAAAATAGGTCACGCAGACTTCGGTGGTATGCACCTGTCCTGAATTGAGGGGTGATTCGCAAGAATGCACTTCCGAGCACTAGTCCACCGAGCCTGTCCACCTTGGCGCAGATCACTCTCCTAATTCTCTGCGTCGGTAGCACAGCAGTTTTGACTCTCGCTAACCATGAACATCGTCTGGGATTCAATCCCCTGCTGACGCACACCTGTTATCAATGATCGGCCTGCAAAACTTGGGCTACCAACATCACATGCTGAAAATTCCATACTCATGCCAAAAGTGCGGTGTGAAATCAAAGTGTAATCAAAAATAAATAAAATGAAATGAAAATAAGAATAAACCGTAGAACCTTCTGCCTCCTGTAATATCTCGCTTTTATTTTTTTCCCCAATCGTTTTGGAAACCGGCAAATGCTATGGTCGACCTATTCAACCTGCAAGTAAAGCAGTTGGTTTGAAAAATGAGGCGCGCCTGTACCTATAAAGAGACAATTGTTCCTGATATAAGTATAAAATCGGGCATTATAATAGAAGCGAGTGCTCTAACTGCTCTTTGTGCTGAAGTGACTCCCAATTTTACTAAGTCCATTAGGAACTGTCCATTTGACGTTGGAAGGCACCCGCAAGAAAATCAGTCTGGTTTACATCATCAGAACAGCTCATGACGAGAGTCAACTGTTATACTGTTAAGCCTAAGGGATATTCAGATAGATTTTGAGAGCCACTTTGAGTCACAGATCTACGTGATGTGGATAAATTTGATGTTTTCACAGTATATTGCCATATATATTACACCTATGTATATATAAATATGTACTAAGCTTTTATTGCATATATTGTGTCCTTGGTTCAAGGTCTCCCTGACATGCCGCGCTATCCGCCTGACAGGTAACGCTGCCGTTGTATTTTTAATTTCCAACGGTAGAACTATGATTTGGCATTTGATATATTAATAAGCAGCAAAATGTTGTAAAAAGCAGTGTTTTCTTTTTATTATTTGCCTGTCTTTAGGAGTTAAGTGAGACAAACACATGAAACCTGTGGATTCGGTGTGTGCGTCGGTGGCACAGTGATTAGGACTCTCGCCGACCATGCACATGGTCCAGGGTTCGAGCCCACCCCGACGCACACCTGATATCTATGGTCGGCCTGCAAAATTTGGGCTACCGATATCCACGCTGAAAATTCCATACTTGTACCAAAAATAGTGTGGAATCAAGCTGTAATAAAAAAAATATATTCATTGACCTCATATTATCAAGCATAGTAAGCCTAAAATTTAGTTTAATTAGCAACTGTCCAGTTGCATATATTACGTTTTGAACAATAAATCACTATGATGAGGCTTCAATAGTTTTATGTTAAAGGCACATTTTTGCTGGTGATAAATGTTTTCATGTCCAGCTAGCTTTTTTTTCAGACGCACTGCAGACTTTGGGACGAAATACTTAGGGCCTTAAAAATTCTGTAATGCGCCCTAAGTTTTCCCAAAAGTCTGCAATTCGCCCGAAAAACATGCTATCTGGGTGACAGCTCGCGTTTATCATGTAGGCTTCCACAGAAAAAACATGATACACATATCTCCAGTGACAAGTCCCACTTGTTAACTAGGCAGATACATGATAGCTTTCGTTTAAAATCCTAGTTTCACAAATGGATGATCCTACCCTAAATCTCAAACGCCCTGCAATTTCCTTAGAAACCCGTTCCTAAATTTAACGGAGAGATTAAAGGTGAAATCCGATCTGTCCAAAATAAGATGCAGGAAATAAGGTGACTAAGTCTCATAATGCATTATAGAAACGAAAAGTCTAAGCTTCCTTTCCATTTCTCACAGTTCGTGTACTTATACGTTGAATCTGTTACGTCGTTTTTTCTCAAAGCAAGGGTTTGACGAATGTTCTTAATATTACACAGAGAGTATGCCACCTGTTATACTACCAAAATGGTGAATAAAAACACTCAGGATTCTCAATCTACAGCACTAGTGTCTTTCCCTGTTGTGTCCATGCTATCCGAGTCCTGTAGTTACTCAGCACGAACTAGCTTTGAGCTGCTATTCCACTAGTACCTGGTTTACATTCAAACCTCCACTGCATTCATCCCATGTAAAAGGAATTTTGCGAACGAACTTTCCATGCTATCTATTTGAATAACTCTTCATCCTGTATTCTTATAGAATTCTTTTACCAGATTTGGGTTTCGTCTTTTTAAGTTCATGAGTTTCAAATTTTTTAAGAAACTTCCGAATTTTAGTTTTTTTCGAGATAATGGAAATGATCTTTTCCCTTGTGAGTACTAAACCTGTTTTTGAAGTATCACATCAAGATGGTGAACTTTTGAGGAAAGAGAGGATTTGAAGGTGGGAATTTAGTTGTTACAGAATTTTCAACCACTCCTAATCAGTCTACCCATAATACGTCCTTTGCGGTAACCTTGGAGTTTGGACGTTGTACGTGTTCATGTAATGTTGACAGTGGTTTTAAAGGACTGAGATTGATATAGCAAAGCTCAAGTTGCCAGCAGTCGCCTCAGAGTGAAGAGCACATGAAAATATCTGGGTGGGGTGAACTTATATTCCTCGAAAATGTTATATAAAGATGGTTATTCGGTACAACTGGTGAGTGAGAGCCTGACTTTAGATACTATATTAGTCAAGCTAATCCCTCTGTGATTATGACAGGAAGACTTGTCTCCCTTCGTGTATGTAGGGTTAATCAGTGATAGGGAGTGAATCGGAAGAGCATGTTGACCACTTCACTTATCTGGGAAGTACCATCAGTCCCAACGGGTTGATCTCTCACGAAATCTCAGCACAAATACATGGGGCTCGTTTCGTATACTCCAGTTTACGCCGTCTCTGGCGTAGACGAGATGTTCGACTATCGACCAAAGGGCGGGTGTACTGCTCATCAGTCCGCTTCGTCCTCCTTTATAGTTGTGAGACCTGGCCACTGAGAGTGGAAGACATGAAAAGATTAGCTGTCTTTGATCATAGGAACCTGCGTTCTATCTCCTGTGTGAAGTGGTATAATAAGGTGAGCAATATTGAGGTTAGGCCTCCGTTGAATGCTAGGTAAACAGGGGAAATCAATCGACGAAGTCGTGAAGTTACAAAGACTGAGATGGTTAGGACATGTGTTACGTATTCCAAGCCATCGCCTCCCTCGACGAGCAATGTTAGCGGCTATAGAGTCAGGCTGGAAAAAAGCTAGCGGCGGTCAAACAAAAACTTGGCACTAGTCAATGAAATCCACAACAGTTGGTCTAAGCCACATAGGAAGGTGTAGACTTCCGGGTTGGGGTCCTTGGGACGGTAAAAATCTATGGTTTGAAACAATTGTGACATGGCTCAGAATTGTTCTCAATGGCTGGCGCAGATGCATCCACTCCTTGTGACTTATGATCTCCAGTGAAACTGTTTTGTTCTTCGTTATTACTCCTCCTTTGTCTCACAACTCTGCTCACCGTTTCTATTATGCTTTTCTTGTACTTTCTTCTCTTGCTTCGCGTGCTACACGGCGTGTGGCGACTTGAACTTCCGCACATTTGTGCAAAGTTCTCTGTCGAAGACAGGCAGAACAGACAGACAGACTCCCTATTTCTAATCTAGGAGTCGCTGTAGTCCAGTCCTGTAACATCATCTTGCATTTGGCGGGAGCGAATCGCATGCCAAACATTCTTAGATTGCAGCTCAAGGTGTTCAGAAGACTCTGCTGTATTCTGTCAGCGTCCTCGCCTAGAAGGACTATATCGTCTGCGCACTCAGTCAATGAGATTATTCCCTGGTAGCAAGTCAATCCGAGTCGCTGAAGTCACTTAGGGTTAAGTCCATTAGTACATTTATGATGAAGTTGAATAGAAAAGGGGATAATGGGCGTCCTTGACGGACACCACGAGTCGTCACCAGTGCTGATGACAACTCACCGTAAGCCCTCACCTGGCTGTATGAGTACGAGTAGAGTGCCTTAATCAGTGCAATGTGTTTTCTCGGCATTCCCTTTACAGCCAAGCATCTCCAGAGAACTCCTCGATCGACAGAGTCGAATGCTGCCTTTAGGTCACGAAATATAATGACTGTTGGACGCCGGTAGGAATTCCTATGTTCTAGAATCTGTCGGAGGGTGAAGATATGATCAATACACCCTCTTCCTGATCTAAAGCCTGCCTGGCTCTCTGGTGTTTGTGCCTCCCGAGCACCACTTAGTCTACGCATGATTATTGAGCCTGACTTTAGATACTATATTAGTCAAGCTAATCCCTCTTTGATTATCACAGGAAGACTTGTCTCCCTTCTTGTATATCGGGATAATCAGTGACTTACACCAACCCGATGGGTCTTCTTCTGATTCCCAGACGCTTCTTAGGACCTCAGTTAATGCAGACAGTAAACTGTCTCCCCCGTCCTTAAATACCTCTGGAGTCATTCCATCAGGTCTCGCTGCTTTGCCTTGTTTCAGATTGGTGACAACTTTAGTAACCTTAGTTAGGGATGGAGAACCTGTGTCTATATCTCATTCAGGGAGGTGTTGGGTGTTTGGCAGGTTGATGCATTTGGTCATCAAAGTTGACTTCACTATGGATAGTCTGAAGACGGATTTTTAACTCAGAGAAACACCTGTGTGCATATTAGGCCTGGTATTCCATGATGACCCATTTCTCTAACAGTCTAAAGAACAAGCTTTTCATCTAACCGGTCCCACGTATGTTAATCCATGTATCTGTTTATGTAGAGTCGGACATATAGGCCGTTCAATGCGAGATTTTTTCAAGCGAATGCGAATGCTGTCAAGGAATACTAATCCACTCAGCAGAAATGCTTTGGTCAAATACCACTTTGAGACTGATTTAAGTGAATTGGCGTTCGAATTGATCTGTAACAGTAAAATATACCTACCGATTGAAGTGTGCCTCTAACTTTTCTGTATTCAAGTCCTTGTTTTTTGTCTCTACCTTGGTCTTAACTATTGGTTGTATTTTTCATCCTCATAACTTCAATCTCTTTGTCTTAGGAAGTTTGCATTTACCATTAGCAATCTAAATCATTTTTTGTTTCATTTCCATATATATTCTGATCACATTATCCTGAAAGCTGTATTTCTACAAATTGTACAACTGTATGTCCAGCTAGCTAGGTATTTTAATTTCGATACGTTTTTGTGACTGATGCGTACATACTTTTCTGCTTGTGGTTTTCTCGTGGTTGTTTTAAAAATTCCAGTCTCCATTTAGTTTAGTACTCTTCGGTAAAAACAACAAATATTGTGAAAGCAGAAAGCGAATAAAATTGCGATTTCACAGCTTACTTGTCTAGTATTCTAATAGGCAAATTATTTCTTTCAAATGAAAAGATTATCACTTTGTGTAAACAACTATTGAAATATAAATGTAATCAATTTGATGTATTCCACAATGGACAAACTTTTCACAGACTTCAATTCTAGTAGGTATTCTTTGTAATTTGTTTTATTTATATGAGTGTAATTTCAAATATTCTTAGTGTAAGTGTAGAACTTGGGCACTGTGGTAAAATGTAGTGCCATATTAGATTAATTTATTTTAAATATCACACAGCAATACAGTAGTAACAACTGGATGACGTTTCGAACATAAATTACTTCTGATAATCATATCAATTTTGTCGCATGGTCTCACAATTTGTCATATATATTTTTTCCGTTTTTCTGTGTCTCCAACTTCTCTTTCTTGTTTGTTGCCGCTTTCCATATCTCCGGTATAGGGGTTACATCATTCCGATTGTACGTATGCGGTGTTAAATCGACTTAGAAAGCTTCAGGGATTAACCTCTATCTCTCCATCTAACTATACTACTTTTTAATACTCTCATCTTGCCCCACCCGATCTTGTGATTACATGCAAATGAATAAAACGCAATGACTGAGCCAGGACAGGGCCAATTATTCTAGGTTTAGCTAAATTTTTATGTTCCAATCATTTAGTTGACCTTGATCTGTTAGTTTGAGCTATGTAACTAACCTCACAGGCATTACATGGTATTTTGTAAATTATATTACTTATCTTAATTGAATCTATTGGGTCCTTAAGCCGACAAAGTTTATCTTTGAGAGATTCAATCGGTTTAAATGCTACCCTTATTGCAGCCTCATTGACAATCCTATGTAAGACCTCTAACGTTCGTCCTTTATACGACTTTGGACACAATACTACTTTCGTCATTTTTATTGCTTTTGTTGATTTTTCCATGCATCTGGTGGATAATTACTAGTATATATATACTAGTATTCAAATAGTCTTACGTTTGAGCTGATCAAAACCTACGAGGCTTCTTCCCTTCTTAAATTCACAATTATTGTGAAACTTTGCCTTCAGTAAACAATCTGCCTCTGTTTGAAAGATGTTGTATAGAAGCATTGCTACTTAGCGTAAAAATTAATATTTCTCTGCCCTCAGGTCATCTTAGCAGCAGAGACAGCGAACATTCAACAGTAGTATTTTCTCTACTTTGTCGTCTATTTATATTTATAGTGGTGCACTTACGTAATATATATGATGTGTATTATTAATGTATGTAATCCTGTAAATTCGAGTATCCATTATTTTCATTTCTTCTATTCGTCTTAGGTGGTTTGACTACAGTCCATTTGGCGTACCGATAAAAGGAACACGCTTTCTTCCACTAAAACTGCCAATACCATTAGAAAAGTCGTTTAATATCCCTCCTCATTTGAGGTGAGTATGATGTATGATCCAGTACATAATACACAGATTTTCACTAAATGATCTGCTTGGACACGTCCAGTCGTGTAATCAGTACCTGGCATGCGTTATAGACTTGACATACACAAACTATTACTCTACAAAGGTAACATTCTTTATTATTTATCTTCTTAGTTCCTACATGATAATAATATAAGGTATCACAAGATATACGTCGAAGGTCATAAAATCCCAGATTCGAAATCCGTCGCAAAGCAAGTTTTTTGCCATTTTACGATGTACTTCTTTGTAGATTCTTTGACTTGGTGAATGAGGAACGAAAACAGTGTCCAGGTTAGCTCTTATCTGTGATATTAGATTTTAATGATTGTATGTATTGATTTGAAATTATACGTTCTTTTAATCAATTGCGTGTTGTCAACCATCTATTTACAAAAGGAGTGAATCTTCTAAGTACATTATTTCACTATATCTTTAGTTTCGTTACGAGTTGTTCCGTTCACAGCTTACCACATATTGCAATTTTCTTTCTTCTACTTGTATATCAGTTAGTAATAGCTATCACTTATATTGATCAGTTAAACTATCTGAGCATTGTGACTATTTTTTCATTGATTAACGAAATACCCTCATGGATAATTGGATACAACGCAGGAACAACCTGCAGATGTAACTGAAAAGGAATGCTGAATAATGTTTGTAAAACAGCAATTCACCCATAGTAACGGAGTTATGACTGGTTGTTTCACACATCGTTTTCAAGCGGTATGTCATTTGATTCAAATATATTTCAGTCTGACGCTTAGGTGGGCGGATTAAATCACTGTGTTATACCCAAACTTGCTCTTTGGGTATACTTTCAGCAGTCAATCTTGTTAGCTGTATCTCTTTTCTTTATAAAATTCAGTATATTTTAACAGATTAGGAATTGTTTGTGATGTTTGTTTAATTGTAATGCGTCAATGAATTCATCTTTTCATATTTTAGATGGCATAATAGCCGTACATTGCACACATGGCGTAAATAGAACGGGTTACTTTATATGCAGGTATGACCTTTTGAGTATATTGTCTACCTAATTCAAGATATCTCATCGATTATATGAAATGGGATCCTAAAGATGCCCTACAAGGTATACACTCTTTAATGATAAACTCACACTATACTTTTTAGAGTTTGAATATGCACGTGGTCATCCCGTTGAAAGAGAGAACTACATTGAAGATTTAATGTCTTCGGTTGTCAAATCAGAATCCAAAGCTGACGTTGAAGAAAACCAAACTGAATAAATATGTACAAAACCAATGCTTTCCGTTATTATCCCGTAAATATTGACTACTAAGATTTTTTAGCAGTTATGTGTAATATAAAAATTCACGTGTTTTATAATGGGAATACAATTTAAAAAATAATCATTTCTAATTTTCTTACCTGACAAATGATATTGAGTAAGCTAAGTTCTACATATGAGGAATTTTCAGAGGCTTTGTTACATGACAATATCTTGAAGACCAAAATCCTATAATTTGTTCAGTAGTGAAAGATGTGGAAGTCACAGCAACGTTTAGTTTCACAGTATTAGTTTAGATCAGTCTAAACGTGACTTACTTTACTGGATTCGTGTAATTTAGTGTTATTATGATTGCAATTAGCTGATATAGGTGCAGGTTGGAAAAGAGTAAGTGGTGGCCAAACAAAACATGTCATCAATCCATGAAATCATTGACAGTTAAACTGAGTCGGTCAGGTAGGGAGATGCAGAATTCCGGGTTGGGGCCCTCGGGACTCCAGGAATCAATGGCTGGAGACAACAGGTGACATGGCTCATAATCCGTTGTCGATGGCGCAGATGTATTCAGTCTCTGTAATCTTTCATATTCCTTTCTACCATTACCGATTCTGTTTCGCTCTTATAACTGTCAAACTATATTGATTCTCTTCACTCATCTTTTTGTCTACCTTTGTGTGCTATTTGGAACGTGGCAGCTCAAACTGCTGGACTTCGGTGCCAAGTTCTATGTTGAATCCAGACAGACAGGCATTATGATTGCAATGGTATCTAAGTATTTTTTTTAAACTTTTGACAAGGTTCAAGAATCTTTCACTTTGCACGTATTGGATGTTGATTCATTGAATCAAGATGAAGTAATCAGTGTTTCCTTTTAGTCACAATGATATTTTATGACCGATAGTTTACCATCTGCTGTCTGGTGACTTCAAAAGCCTATTAGTTGGTGGACTCGTTTCAAAGCATACTACTTAATTGAAGTCGACAGATAAAGTGTTTAGAAAACACATTTAACTTTTCTGGATTTAAGTTGGTTCCCTAATATCTGTTTGCGAGTATTTCATCTATTAATGGAAAGTTATACTTGTTGTATTGTATTTTGTATACTGACTTAATTGGTCTCGACTCTTATCCAGCTAGTTTCTTAAAACTTGTACAGAATATTTGCGTGGTATTTTGATTTGCTATTCTTTTATCGATTACAATACCCACCAGTTCAGTTGCTCAAAATCGAAAAAGGCGCATGATTATATATTTCATAACGACATGTAGAACATTGTAAAACAAAATATCGATTACAGTTCGTCCATGGCAACATTTATCAAATCCTTTAGTTGCTTGTTTATTGATATCAACGTACTATTTAGCTCTTCCATCGATGTTTGCTCCATTCCTGAAACATAATGTAACGGTTTCAATCCAAGATAGCTTGTACCTGAAGTTAGAAAAATAATTATTAGGGGCTTCAAATCAAGTCAGTCTTATTCAGCTAGTCATAAGGAACAGAAAAACAACTTCACATCAACTGGCACCCTGATAAAATTGTGAGCTATCTCTGATTGGTGATTTGGTGTCTCTTAAATAGGTCATATTTCAACTATCTTTACCATGCTTTTGTGTATAAATAACAATTTCCCAGCTGTACAATACCGACTTATATATTTAGTGATGGGCAGCTTTTTTCCATATCCTGATGCCAGTTTACTAGAAGCTTATGTATGTAAAACAGTTTTCTCTCAGTAGCCATCACTTGGTCAAGCTATCAAAGAGCGAGATCATTATGTCAATTAGTACCAATTCTCATTCAGTCTTATAGATTAGACAACCAGTAGCACTGCAGTAATACGATTAATTCCCATAGTCACAAAACAGTTGCATAATGTGCTTCGTACAGGCAAATGCTCGTGGGTATGCTTTAGCTTTATGTATTCTTGGGAATTCAGAAAATCATTTCGTGTACCACCCATTGTTGATTGCTGTTCCACTAATTTAAACAAAATTCACCTCTTAATTGTATGAATCTGTATTTGGTGTATAAGTATTACGAATGGGAAAACAGTGAAGAAGGGTATTTCTAGGTTACTCACTCTTGCAACGATAATTGTTTTACGAATGTATAGATTGCAAGTTGAATATGCAAAATGATAATATTTGATAGGTTATGGCTTGCAGCGAAATTCAGGACGTATCTTTTCTTGTTTGTGACTCATCAGTTAGATCTGCCTGCACCGAGGCTCGAACTCGGAAGCCATCGTTTCAACATGGATCACTTTGTTGGGGGTAAATCAGGCAACAGGAAATTTAATTCTCATTAAATACTAGCTGATGCCTGTCACAAAAGATGTAGTTATCTAGACTCATCGGAACACTGAACCTCATGGCATTTGTAATAATAAGTGCAAGGATTCTTATTTCAACCGGAGCATGGTCACTGACTATAATGCAGGTTACCCCTCTGGCTGATGAGTCCGTGATAGAAAGAAACATGTGTTCTTTCTTGGGTTCTTCTGTTAGTCTCGCCAAAAATTAACCATATCCTTTCCTCCTTATAAATTCACTGTGACTAGTGTTGACAGGAGAATACCCAGCTGGCAGCTAATGGGATGATATTTATTGGCTAGTTACATACCATGACTTGACACCTGATGATTTCAATGAAATATCGTCTTAGCAGCCGGGTTATAGCTTAAGAAGTTGAGCTTTGTACTTCAGATTTAGAGGACGCTGGTTTGAACCCTTTAGTGACCTAGGATTTCATCTGACCAGTCAAAATATGCTTTTGTTCATCATGAGAATGTACGGTGAGACGCAGTGAAAGTATTAAAATGCAACATAATCAGGTGAAAGGAATGATTATTGTAGTCTTCGTATTATTGTATCAGTTAATACCTAGATGCACATAGGGCTTCAGCTGCGCACCTCCATTGACTTCGGTTTTTTGACAACTTTTTCACCCTGCTCCAGGTCTGCCCACATGCTTTCATCTCCTCTTCACATGACCTCCTCCAAGTCACCCTTGGACGACCAACTCGCCGCCTCCCTTTCGGGTTCCACTCGAGGGCTTGTCTAGTGATGTCACTTGTTGGTTTCCTCAGCGTATGGCCAATCCATCTCCATTTCTTTCTGCCTATTTGTTTAACAATCGGTTCCTGATTGGTTCGCTCCCAGAGATCCCTGTTGCTGATCTTTCCTGGCCATCTGATCTTGAGTATTGAGCGGAGACAGTTGTTAATGAAGGTTTGAAGTTTGTTTGAGATGCTCTTTATGACTCGCCAAGTCTCTGATCCGTATAGTAGCACTGACTTCACATTGGAGTTGAAAATCCGGATCTTATTTTTGATGCTGAATGCTGTTGACCTCCACACAGATTTGAGAGTAATGAAAGCTTGTCTTGCTTTTCCGATTCTGGCTTTGATGTCCTCGTCAGTTCCGCCTGTAGTTGAGACGATGCTTCCCAGGTAGGTGAGGGAGGTTGTTTCTTTCAGGTTCTTCCCATTTATGCTTATTGTGGTCTGTTGTTGCTGTTGATGTTGGCTAGGAATCTTCATTATCTCTGTTTTATCTATGTTCACGTGAAGTCCTATCTTTGATGCTTCTTCTGCCAACTTGTTACTTTTCATTTGCATATCTTCCAGTTTATGGGAAATCAGACATATATCATCGGCGAAATCCAGATCCTCCAAGTCTTTTGTGTCAGTCCATTTTATGCCTGTTCCCTCGTTGTTGACGTTGTCTGTCGCATTATCCAATCGATTGCAATCAGGAAGATCATTGGTGATAGTAGACAGCCTTGCCTCACTCCCGTCCTCACTTCGAAGGCTTCCGTAAGTTTCCCGTTGTGGATTACTTGGCATACAGAATTGTCGTATAACTGTTGGATGAGGTGTATAATTGTCGATGGGACCCCGTAGTAGCGAAGTAGTTTCCAAATGACTCGATCGACGCTGTCGAATCCTGAATTTAATACCATTACCAGATATTTGGGAAATCCCAACTTCAGGAATTAGAAATTAAAAACGTTTAAACTGGGTATGATTATAAACTAGAAAAATTAGCCCAGAGTTATCGAGAAAACTATTCCTTATCACTGTGCGTTATAATAAACACTTCACCACATATCTCTAGTACTCAATTGGTCAGTGTAATTTTGCTCAGTATGAGCCACTGAAATCCTGATACGGTCACTGTGATTAAATGGTTCGATAACGCTATATAAACAATGTCATGGTTTTCTATCACAATTAGGCTTCAGTCGCTTACCGACTGCATTTTAGATACCTTCTAGTTTCTGATATGTTTATCGATAACTACCTAAGGCCTATTAATTTCCCAATTCCCATATACACATTTAGAAAAGATAAATTGATAGAAGTATGCTCCTTTTCAATTAGTTCCTTCTCATCGGCTGTACACTAATATATAGTTTTTACATCAGCATGTCGCCAGTCATGTGATTATTTTAGTCCATCAGTTTAAGGTATAGGGGTGAAACTAAGAGGTCAAAAGTTCTCGAAATTTCCGAACGAACATGTGAACTCAGCAAGTAAACAGCCAAAGGTGCCCACAGTTCCTAAAACATCAGTCTTCCTAAGATTGCAATTCACCGGTGATGTTAATAGTGCAATCTTATCACAACGTCCGAGAACGTCCTTCAAAAGGACGATCAACGTAGCCAAGTTATTCTATATTGACTAAGTTGTGTTCTCTTAGCTGGTTGATTTAATTGCGAAGCTTTCGTCGTCCTTCTAGGGAACATCTTCAGTGCAGGTTTTAGTATAAAATGAACTTATTTAAATTCCTCATGAATGATGTAAGTGCATCTCCTGGCAACCACTGCCGTGACTGAAATTTTGTTGTTCATTCCATTCTTAGATATCTTAATCAAGGGAACTAACACAGGAAATTTAGAAACACAAGTATATAGATTACCAAAGCACACAGACAATATATTCAACAATAATGGTTATAACCAAATTAACCACGAAAGAAACTGTGTGAAGATATTGTTTAAAAGAGTTCAAACACATTGTAGCACTACGGTGTTGAAGAGAATGGATTTCCTCACAATTTCATCAAAAAGTGTTTAAGCTCGAGTCATAACACCAACAAAAAGCCAACATCAAAAACCACTAATTAAATTAACCAGCTCAGAGAACACAATTAATTCAATATCACTCATGTGAGCTACACATCTCCATTAAGTTATGCTGTATATTTTCTGGCTGGCCGATACTTAGTTCAAGGAATAAAGACAAACTGCCCTGTTTCGCCTTTTCCATGTGTATTTATCATATTAACTGCTCGTGCGGAGCTAGTTACATAGAGCGTACGATCAGGCAAGTTCATCGTCGAATTTCTGAACACCTCTCATCTTAGTGTGGAAAAGGTCCGAATAAAGCTATAAGCATCTCAATACTAGCTCATCTCGTCGACGCTGGACATCAAGTCGACTGTAACAAAGCTCGCCACACTCTACCAAACAACTAGGAACCTTTCGGGCAAACGTTCGACACAGATTAAGCCAATAAAGGACGACAATGGAAAGTCAATCACCAAAGAGGTGGAACAGAGAAAGCACTGGGCTGAACACTTCAAAAGACTTCTAAATCGTCCGCCACCTACAACGCGCCCAACAATACCAACAACGGAAGCAGAACTACCAGTGAACATTGATCCCCCGACGAAATCAGAAGTCCTGAATGCAATCAAGATGCTAAAAGCTAGGAAAGCACCAGGACCAGATGGAATCCCAGCAGAAGCTTTGAAAATAAACCCAGAGACAACAGCGGACTTGATGACGCCACTGCTGGAGAAGGTGTGGAAAGAGGGCAAAGTACCCGAGGATTGGAAGAACGGATACTTATTCAAACCACCAAAGAAAGGAGACTTAAGTAAATGTAAAAACTGGCGTGGAATTATGCTTCTGTCCATTCCAAGCAAGATACTAAGTCGCATCATCCTGGAGAGAATCAAACAAGCACTAGATGAAAAACTTCGTCCGGAACAGGCCGGATTCAGGAGAAACAAATCATGTATTGATCAAATCGCCACTCTACGGATCATCATTGAACAAAGCTTGGAATGGCAGTCACCTCTCTATCTCAACTTCATCGACTTTGAAAAGGCCTTCGACAGCGTCGATCGAGAGGTCATTTGGAAACTACTTCGCTATTACGGGGTCCCATCGACAATTATACATCTCATCCAACAGTTATACGACAATGCTGCATGCCAAGTAATCCACAACGGGAAACTTACGGAAGCCTTCGAAGTGAGGACGGGAGTGAGACAGGGCTGTCTAATATCGCCAATGATCTTCCTGATTGCAGTAGATTGGATAATGCGAGAGACAACGGGCAATGAGGAAACAGGCATAAAATGAACTCATACAAAAAACTTGGAGGATCTGGACTTCGCCGATGATATATGTCTGATTTCCCATAAACTGGAAGATATGCAAGTGAAAAGTAACAAGTTGGCAGAAGAAGCATCAAAGATAGGACTTCACGTGAACGTAGAAAAAACAGAGATGATGAAGATTCCTAGCCAACATCAACAGCAACAACAACAACAGACAACAATCAGCATAAGTGGGAAGAACCTGAAAGAAACAACCTCCTTCACCTACCTGGGAAGCATCGTCTCAACTACAGGCGGAACTGACGAGGACATCAAAGCCAGAATCGGAAAAGCAAGACAAGCTTTCATTACTCTCAAATCTGTGTGGAGGTCAACAGCACTCACTCAGCATCAAAAATAACATCCGGATTTTCAACTCCAATGTAAAGTCAGTGCTACTCTACGGATCAGAGACTTGGCGAGTCATAAAGAGCATCTCAAACAAACTTCAAACCTTCATTAACAGCTGTCTCCGCTCAATACTCAAGATCAGATGGCCAGAAAAGATCAGCAACAGGGATCTCTGGGAGCGAACCAATCAGGAACCGATTGTGAAACAAATAGGCAGAAAGAAATGGAGATGGATTGGCCATACGCTGAGGAAACCATCAAGTGACATCACTAGACAAGCCCTCGAGTGGAACCCGAAAGGGAAACGGCGAGTTGGTCGTCCAAGGGTGACTTGGAGGAGATCATGCGAGGAGGAGATGAAAGCATGTGGACAGACCTGGAGCAGGGTGAAAAAGTTGTCAGAAAACCGAAGGCAATGGAGGTGCGCAGCTGAAGCCCTATGTTCCTCTAGGAACTAAAGGATACAATAATAATAATAATATATCAACCAATCTCCAGCATGGTCTACTAGTACGACTTTTACTTACAGCAGAGGCAATCGAAATACATCTGAACAAGCCAAACCTGTGTGTTCAAAAGAAATTTGTTCAGCCCCTTTCTTTGCCACAGCCAACTACACAATATGTATTAAGTTTTTAAAGACAATTTTTCCCCTCCTCCTTGTCATTCCATTATGTTTACAATGCTAGTTAATTCTATCAGTAAATATTAGTGTATAACACTGTGAGACACTATCAACTTGATTGATTGACGTTCATTTTGTATTGCACATAATCTAAATTCGTCATTCTTAGTATATAAATATCACTATGTCCAGCAATTTCAATTATGTGCCTACTCTTAGTTACAAAAGCCTAACTTGTTAGTCACTTCGGACCAAAAGTTGTTAAGTGAATGGCCATTTTTTAGGTTTTGCTCACCTGTTTGGAACTCAATAAAAGTATCGTAGATATAGATTGCAATAGTAGAATCAACTTCAGTAGCAACAATGCGTCCATTAATTTTAGCATTAGCTTTAGCTAGTTTAAATCTGAAATTATAAAAAATGTTCACAAATATGATCCGAAATAGTAACAAAAAGAATGAATTGAAATGTTTAACTAGAAATGTGCTCATAATATCTCAATAATTTACGCTTTATACTTTCATGTATTGTACTAAATCACAATATCTGCGCTTTTTTCACTTAACATTGTGTTCACGCTATGTTATGCTTTTTTATATAGATGGCCAGAATCATCTTTATCAATCGTTTGAGCAGACATATTTTTTTCGTTTGGAATTATAACAACTTTCATTAATTTTCAAGTATTGGTTTTGTAGGGATTTTTGTTTGGCTGGTTGCAGGATTTCATCATGAACTGACATCAGCTAGAGAGAACCATTGAAAAAGCAGCCGGGAGTACTGGACATCTGTTTCGCCCCAGTATAGGACTATTCATCAGTGCGCACCCACCGCCAGGGTTTGAACCCAGGACCTGGTTATAAGGCGAGCTCGTAGACCATTAGACCACTGGTACCCGATCCAATGGCCAACCCATGAATTCTAACTTCGACCAATTCATGACATAGCGCGACCACTTCGCAATGTCTTCTTCTATGAGTTACTGCCTCACATTCAACCTGTTGCATCCTATCGGTCACGACATCCTACTAGAACCCCAGGTTAACTGCCCGAACAGGGCGTACTGATGAAGAGCTCCAAACTTGGGCGAAACAGCTGTCCGGTACTCCCAGGTTTTTTAATATTTCTCTAGCCGATGTCAGCTCATGACGAAATCCTCCAACTTTCCTTAACTTTTTTTATTCTCAGCAACATGTCTATATTCACAAATGAAAAAGTAGGCATTGATTACGGCACTCCGAAGTTTATAAATTATGTGGCCCATATTTCTGTCCTAATATTTTTGGTTCATTTTCTAACCAATTTGATTGAACACTAGGTTTTATTGGGACATTAATTCAAAGGAGAAGAGCATCTTCTATACTGATGGATTTGCGGTAGTTAAAATAATACTTAATGATTTCATTACCTTATACGTGAAAGCTATTTGGATGGGTTTTTTTAATTTCATATATATTCACTACTGGAACATTGATTTGTTTTCATCATCGAATAAAAACGATATGAATTATTCTGATGCGAGATAAAATGGTAAAATAAATAAATAACAACACATACAGTGTAGGCAGTGCAGAAGCTGGAGCTGTCTGTTGATCGCCGACGGACGAACGCCTCATTGCTAAATAATAAACTTTCAATAATTGGCTGGCATCGTCTTCAATCTTCACCGGAGGCGAATTTTTGCAAGCATCTAAAAGCTTTCACGTTAAAAATGAGAAAAAGAATTATTCGTTTCACACTGTACACATCCCTACACACAAACACTTTAATTTCCGAAATGTTATCCGTCAAATAATGTTAATAGATTATGTAACTGTGTAATAGCAGAAGGCAAGACACGGAAGCCAAGGTATATTTTCCATTGATCAAACTGCTAGTTTATATATATATATATATATATATATATATATACAGCTTATATTCTTTAACCAATCACTGATCATGTGATTTCGGTTTACATCAAACGACATGAAACAGAATGTTCAAATGTGCATAGTATTCTATTGCTAATGTAGTAAATAACTGTCGGAAATGTATTCTGTCTTTGATTGGACACTAATAACTAGTGTGTTGTGTTTAGTCCTTTCTTTGGTGCAGACTGAATTCTACCAGTCAGGTTTGCAATGTAGCCACCATTCTAGGTAGCTCTCCATTATGGTACACGTTGATTTGATGATACTAGGTGGTTCGAGGCAATCAGCAGGAAGCCTTCGACCTAGGTTTCGTGTTAGTAAGGTGTATCTGCGACCTTGTAGGAACTCATGTCCCTTCTGAGATTCGCACCCTTGCCACCCAGTGGTGCAGTCAGAGACGTTACCATTGAGCTATTCGGGCTCAGTTTGCACCAAACGAAGGACTAGACACATCACACTAGTTACTAGTGTCCAATCAAAGTATCCACTACTGTCCTACATGAGCTCAATCGCGAGTTCGAATAGCTCAGTGGTAACGTCTGTGAATGCAGCACTGGGTGACGCGGGTTAGAATCTCAGAAAGGCCATGAGTCCCTCCAAGGTCACAGATACTCCTAGCTGACGAGTGCCAACTAGCACGAAACCTAGATGGAAGACTTCCTACGGCCGATTGCCTCCAACCATCTAATATCATGTATTCTGTCTTTAAAATCAAATAGAACGTTTAAATAGATATATTGTATTCTGTTGCTATTACCGAACTGAACCGTGGAAATATGTGAGAATCATATTCTGTTGGAACACATTCTCTATATCACACCACCACAACGGAAATAGAACAGAAGAACTCAAAACATTCATAGATATACTAAGGAAAGAAATAGACTTCGGTTAGTGTTTCCCGTTCCTCACTGCGATACAGTCACACCTGTTGTGTGGGAGATAGTGGGTAATACCCGGATGTTCGAACCCCTGCAGATGGAGCGGCGTTTGAACCAGTGACCCACTGGTTAGAAATTGAGCGTATAGACGAATGAGCAATAGTTCTCATTTACTGAGTTGTTTATTCTCCTGTTTATCTATTATTTCATTTTCCACGGAATTCTCTCACCAATGTGGCTTATTGCTTGTGTCTGTTTGTTTCACATATATTTGATGCAGTATTTACTTAGTCTTTTTCCAAACTCATCTCAATGGCTTTTGAAATTTTCAGGTCGTTCAGTCATTCGGTAGTATAAATAGCTCTGAAATATATGAATGATGAAAAGCGCTTTGTATACTTAAATTTCGTTGTATTCTCACTTCAACTAAGAAAATTAACATGTACTATGTAAACCGTATTATCTATTGGTATTCATGATAGTTATACAAACAGTTGAGATTTTACTAATCTAATTTTAACCTCGTAGCTATTTCCTCATCCGTTAGCATATAATCTTTTGTGATATGTTGAGTGCTTGTTTATTGTGGTTGTTCATAGATTAGCCACTTTACTTTTCAACTGATAAAGTAGAGTTCAGCGTATATTATGCCTACAAGGCGTTTATGCAAATTTAACTTATCTATAGCCTAAAAGTAATTTAATGGTTAACAGTTAACATGTATTGTAGTGATGTGATACAGACAAAGTGTGCCAACGGAATATTATTCTCGCATATTCCAACAGTTAAATTCGACATTAGCAACAGAATACTACATATCTATTTGAACACTCTATGTGATGGTAGAGACAGAATGCATTTCCCACGGTTATATATACTGCATTAACCAAAGAATACTACGTACACTTGAACATCCTATTTCATGTCTTTTGATGCAAACCAAAATCACATGCTCAGTGATGGATTAAAGTATATAAACTGTATAGATATAAACAGAGGTTTGATCAATGGAAAATGTAGCTTGGCTTCTTCCATGTCTTGCCTTCTATTGCTATGCTATATTAGTAATTTATAGGAATCGTTCACATTCCATTCACTTTTTGTCAATTAATTTCAAAATACGAACTTTTATATTTATAAAATCTCAGCAAAATTGAAATGAGTAATATCAACGTGTCGTTCGGTAAATTAATCCGAACTTCATCAGAGAAACTAATCCAAATTAAAATAACATGGTCTTATATTTAAAAAGGACATCTCTTGTTTTTAAAAACTTTATCCAGTCATATGAGTCATGAAACAGGCATCAAAGTATAGTAGACAAAAGTGTATGAACTGTGATCAAAATTTGACGCCAAACTTAGAAATATTAGTCTACTTATTTTAAACAGTGTGTACTTTTTCATCAGAATTTAAAGGATTACGTATGAACTTGATTATGGTAAAACCTGTCTTTTTAAATCATTCCCTGGTATAATAATGAAATGAAGTTATGTCAATTGTACGATTTTGTGTTTTCTATTCGAGAACGTTTCAGACTTTTAATCATGATTTCTCTTGTCAAGAAGAAACCTGCTGAGTTCCTAATCGAAGTAGTCGAAATGCCTGAACTATAGATCTAACTAGGAGGTTAATCACAGACTAGCTAGCACTGATTTACCGTTTGTGTTGTAAGGCAAGATCTTCCTAATATCTTAAATAAAACGTGTGGAATTAAAACCTTCAAATTTAATTAACATCACTAAAGAATTATAACTTGTTTAGATAAACTATCAAACATACGCTTGTGTATATTCTCATATATGAATGTGAAGGTAATCTTGACGAATATTCTTCCAAACTGGATTTGTCAGCCATTGTTAAGCATAAATCGGACAGTGATTCGTCCATGAGTTCCATCGGCCCAGCAACTTCTTCAGTATAAATAACGAGATCGAAAGCACTGGATTTCATTAAAGAAAAGTCAATCTTACTGATTAGTAGAAAATTAATAATTATAAGTTACACATCATTTAAAGCACCATTTTTTAGGTGATTTAGACCCTTTATCACTTCTTTGCTTCGACAGTAGTATCTCACTGTTCCACATAATCTCTCTAATTGAAACTAGTCATGACAAAATATGTGCAACAATCATTTCGGCTACAGCAAGTGGAATATTTCTTCGCAATTCATACATTATTTTTCTGCCTAAATTTGTATTTCTCTACTATCAACAACACGCTGAGGTGATCGTATAAAAATATTTCTATCGTATTTCTTCATCAGTGAAGTAGATTAAGAACTTTCGGAAAAATAAAGTTTTGTATTGAGTAGAGAATCAACATGTCGGAAAATGAGACTTGCTATAGATTGCCTTAGTTGAAGTTGCAAATCTATTTACTTTATCAGGTTTGTTGGTGTTATTTTTGTAGATTTCAAACTTTATTTGACTAGTAGTTATTTCATGAATCTAGTTGGATATGAAGTGATCTTGTAAAGGAAGATTAGCGAGAATTTATCATTGAGAGTGGATTCTGAAGATGATTACACAATTCTAGTAACTGGTTTTAAAATCTCTTGATATTCCTACAAACCAGTTTCTTAGCCGTCAGAAGTATTATCATAACGATGGTGTGAATACTCTGTATTTTTATTTGTTGTTAACCTCCTGTGATATGAAATGGGAAGAAATCTACAAATAAGCTTTTCAGTCGTATGGAAATGGTTGTCTTTAGTAAATATCATCTAGCAGTGTCACTATTAAGTATTATCTTTCAGATTGTATTATTGGCTTTTGAATTATCATCCCTTGGCCTTCAACGCTATGTATAAAGACCTCTAAGAGCTTTTGAAATTTCCATTGGTAAGTAACTTAAATATGCATATGGTCCGGGGTTCGATCACTGGCCGATGCACTCCTTTGCCTCGCTAAACCAGAAATAAAAGCTGGTAAAGAGGAAAAGTTGGGCTGAGACTATCAACCCCAACCTGTAAAAATAAACACTGCTACAGAAACTTCAAGCCTCTAGCTTAAAGCCCTGTGTTCCACTGGGAACGTGAAGGAAAAAAATGTGACTTAAATATGACATGGTATTGACAAGAAGACATTCATTTAAAACGTATAATTCTTTTGAAATGTATAACTTCACATTTTTGTTTTTCAAAATAAAAAAAACTTACTGAGTAATTCTCTTTAAATTTCCTTTTCTTAATAAAGAACTACATGTCCATTTTGTCGCTGTTGTTGCTTGTGTAGAAGGTTCTGTGTCAAATAAATCAGTTTGCGAAAATTTAAAAGTAGGTTTTTTAAGCTTTTCTCTATAGGCTGAAGTGATCTCAGCAGTAGCCCAGATAGTTGTTTCATTTGGATAGGGTAATTCATCAGTGATTTCACGATTAGAAGGTGATTTATTTTCATGCTGTACAAACGAAGTACTGACAGCCATATTCTCTAAAGCTAAGTTAAAAACCAAGATAGAAAAAAAAAGATTGGCAGTAGCGTAGCGTGATGCAGACTGATAGGGAATAATCAAAATCGAAATCAACATTGTAAGTCAACGGCTGGAGAGGTAGAAGTGCCTGTTCCTCAAATCTGGGTTTATTTTCCTTTGTGGACACGAAATAAACTGATTGGACAACTTGTTTAGCCCTGAGCCAAGTGACCATCAATCAGAACGCTTTATTCTGCTCTATAAGTGTAGAACTTGGGCACTATAGTAAAATGTAATTCCAAGTGAGATAATTTCATCTTAATTATCACACAGTGATGTAGTATTAACAACCGGATGACGTTTCGAGCATAAATTACTGCAGATAATCATATCACATCATTTAGTCGCATGATTTCACGATTTGTCATATATATTTTTTCTGTTTTTCTATGTCTCCAACTTCTCTTTCTTGTTTGTAGCCACTTTCCATATCTCCGTTTTAGGCGTTACATCATTCCGATTGTACGTATGCGGTGTTGAATTGACAAACAAAGCTTCATTGATTCTGCTCTGACCTAGCCGAACTTCAATATGGCTAAGAATGTATAAATGTGATGCGTTTTTCTTTAGTAATTGTCCGTTACCAATTCTCATATCTGCTGGCGTTACAGCAGTAGTGTTCCACCAAGATAGCAGCTTATAAAGTCTTGAAGTGGTGCAATAATCTTTGATACTATACACGAGTGTTTACTCCTCTTCAGAAACAGACCACAAAGGTTCCTCAACAAAAAAAACCAATAGTAGAAACAAGATCATGAAAAAAGTATATTTCCTCCTTATGTATGTTTAAACTAGGAAGAGGATACTGGCAATACTACAAAACAACGTACAAGTTCATAGTTTACTGAGTTATAATGATAGGTTATGAGAAACTGACTTTCCATAATTAGACTAGGTTCTGCAGTTTATTCAAAGCATTATTTTATCACTGCTTCTCTACACAAGACGTAACATTATTATTTCTACTCGTGTCACTGAAAAGAGGAGTGTATTCCTTTACACGTAATATAATAAACGTATAAGTCTCCAGTTAAGTTGACAAATGAAAGAATATTTGTAAAAGTTACACAGATTACATTTATTTATGGTTTTAAACAATAAAAAAATGAAAAGTGTGTAGCCTATCAGCATCATTACTTAGTGTTGTAAGAAACATAGAGTGGAGCGAACAATGGGAAAATAAATTAATGGAACATCTTCAAATTGATGTAAATCTACAAAATCAGCCTAGTATGCATGGATTCAAATCATAATGTCAGTGTAAAATTAGATTATGATCACAGAGTCACTCTTACTCCATTTATAACTTGTATTATTTTAAGTCGGCACATAAAACTTATGAGTCATAAAAAAAGATTGATATTTCAGCATGCATTCACGCAATCCTAGTTTTCCTACTGTCTAATGAATGTAATCAGGAATCGCAATATTAGTAAAGTTCCAGTAATGTAATATTACTTAGGGAAAACTGTCTCTGTTATTCCGTTTCCCCGTACTTATTAACTTACCATATATAAGATTGGTCAATTCTTTCTTTTTATAAAGTTCCAAATTCGGGAAGAAAGCTATCCCTCCAGACGCCAGTTCTATAGTTCCACCTTATCATAATTTTAAAAAAATTGAATTTAAGCAATTAGTTTCATCGAACTTGTATGATTAAATAAAAAAGTCTAGTGACTGTTGAGATATCAATTGAATATTTCTCAGTCGTAACTTTTAACTTTACTAGCTAAAGCTCGTAGTAATAAAGCTGTGATTTCTTTTTATCGTATAGCCATACTCAGTGATCCATTTGAGTTCATTTGCCTACGTAGGTCGATATTCATGTTTTAACAATGTGGCCTGCAACTGTGAAATGCATCTGTTTTTATTTGAAATTTGTGTGGTTATTTTAATTTCAGATAAATGAATGGATTTGTCTGAATAAGATAAATGGATGTGTAAAACTCAGCTTAGAGAGTCAGTGCATATGCAAGACAAAGAGAGTGTACTTAAAATGCCACTGAAACAGTTATCTAAACTTAACATAATAAACATGCGCAGTTCGTCAAACACAGACTTTCAGTATTTAAAGAAAGGAACATAGATGATAATGAACGAAGATACTGAATTTTACTTGATTTTGAATAGTTAGTTTTAATGATTAGATTTGTTTTTCGAGTTCGACCACGGATTGATATCACTTAGAGAATCACTGAAAAACACGTAGTACTGGACAGCTGTTTCATCTTAGTTTGGGAATCACCAGCTGTTCGAACCCAGGACCTTCCAGTGACAAGGCAAGCTCGTACACCACTCAGCCACTAGGACCCCATTCAGTGGCCCATAAATTCTAACTTCTTCCAATTCGTGATTTCAGTGTGACCACCAACCAATGTCATTAGAACATTAGCTGAGTATATTTTTCATTTTTTAAACTATTTTTCAGTTAATAAATATTTGTTGAGGAAGAACTTATGATGTTTTATTTGCTAATTTATTTGTTGATAGGTTGATTTAATATCCTGATACACCTCCTGTAGGGACTGATTTTTGCAAACCAAAGTTTCACTGAGCAAGATAATCGTGTCACTAGCTATAATCATACTAATAGCACACACTGAATTATCTAGTCCTAATTTCATAGTGGTTTTACTAATATCCACAATCAAGTACTATATATATATATATATATATATATATATATATATATATATAATTTCAAAGTGTGAAATATGACCGAAGATCAGTAGTTACTGGTATGCCTTCGTATTCTGAACAAAATCCAAGTTTGCCTTACCTGATGTGTTTCCCTACAACTATATCATGTTTGAAATATACATAAGGTTTTGTTTATTATATCAGGGACATTTGTTCTAGCCAACATTTGTAATGTATTTCACATGTTCAGTCAATTATTAGAGTTTAATTTTCAGTGTGGGCATTATTGTAAAAGTAGGCTAAGATCCTCCATCAGATGGTAGTTTAAATTTCTTTTTAATGCCATGATATTTATAGGTATTTTGGCATAACAGTAACCAAATTAGTTATCAAGTTTTAGAATGTCATTTTACCTCAAACTCACCAACAACGTCTGCGAAGTAACTTCATTAAATAATGTACGTAGAGATGCAGTGTTACATTTCTTTCAAAATGTGCCCTTTATTCATTAATCCCAGCGGTAAAATGCATTCCTATGTGCCTTATGTGTGTTGAATGTTGATTATATTGACAAAGATTCATTAATCAGTTTCTATCTTACTCTGTTCTACTTCTACTTTATCGTCACTACATGCATAGCAACAGCGAAGTTTTTCCTAGGATAATTATCGTATTAGTGGCGGTCATTTTTCAATAAGATAACTTAATCGTATCAGCTAGTTTGACTTCGTAATCCTTATTTAATATATCATATTTTATCAAATCGTTTCAGCTTGCGTTTGAGTGGATTTGCATGTCTAAATGTCATTATCATTTAGGCCTTGTAAAAAGTGTCTGACGTAGTAGTTTTGGCGTCCTTTACTTGTATGGGATCAGCTTAGGAACTTTGAATTCTTTCTTCACAATTACTATTTACATTACTACCATTGTTACCTTTTTTGTCCTTGTAAGCCTTTGAAGGAAGCCTTTTGAGGAAAAACGTTGAATAGTGTCTTTTTGATACGTTTCATTTAGCTGTTCAGTGGTTTAGTTTAGTGCTTAACACTAATAATCTTAATACGGATATGTATATCTGTCAAGTCCTTATGGTTGTTTTAAGGGACTCATAGTATGTAAGTTGTTTAAATATTTATTGACTAAATCAACCAACCAACTCATGCAAGTTTAAACTAAAATTCGATTATCCATTAACAGATAAGAACGAAGAAATCTAAAAACCCTCTATAGCAGCACACCAATCAATATGTGTTTCGGAGATATTACAAACGAGTTCAACATTGACCTAGAGCTTCTAAAGAGGTTAGTAACATACTGTTCAAAAAGCGACGAAATTTTATTACACCTGTAGTAGCCAGTAAACACTTAGAAATAAAAGAAATGCAACGATTATTAAATTCCCCTTTGTTTTATAAAATATCTAACTTTATTTGGCAAATGAATAAAATTCGACTTCCTTAAATTTGGCTTTAGACTACAATTTAAATGACAGTAACATCGTAGTTTCGGTGCGTCGGTGGCATAGCGGTTAGGACACTCGCCGACCATGCACATGGTCCGGGGTTCGATCCCCGCCGGCGCACTCCTTTACCTCGCTAAGCCAGTAGTGAGACCGGTGAAGAGGAAAGGTTTGGCATGAGGCTAGCAACCCCATCCTGTAAAAATAATCACCACTGCTACAGAAACTTGAAGCATCTACATTTTTTTTTTATTACAGCTTGATTCCACACCATTTTTTGTACAAGTATGGAATTTTCAGCGTGGATATCGGTAGCCCAAATTTTGCAGGCCGACCATAGATATCAGGTGTGCGTCGGGTGGGCTCGAACCCTGGACCATGTGCATGTTCGGCGAGAGTCCTAATCACTGTGCCACCGACGCACACACCGAACCCGGTTTTTTTTTAACCCAAAGGAAAAAAAAAAAAAATTTTTAAATTTTTTTTAAAAACCAAATTCCTGAAATAAAAAAAACGGCGTCGGGGGGGCTAGCTTGGAGCCCTATGTTCCACTGGGAACGTGCAGGAAAATAATAATAGTAATAACATCGTTGTTTACGCGGAAAATGTTGTAACTCTATGTGTAACTTTATGTGTAACTTCAAGCTAGACACTTACACATAACTATGTTCTCACCATTTGAACATGTCTTGTCTAATTCTATGGTTTTGGTATTTTTCTGCTGTGCTGTCTTTTTTAGACATTTCATGTTAGGTTTCTTAGATCCGGTTGAGTCCATTTCTAAAGATGTTGGTAGTAAACTCCCACTAGATTTGTGTTCACAAAAAGGTTTGGCATATTGTCCTGCAGTTCTTAGTATTTTATTTGATATACTATCACCCAAGGATCCTAACAAAAGTAGAGCTGGAGGCCTAGATGAACTTCGTGAGAATGAAGTTCCTTCGTTGCTCTACGCAAAAGAGAAAAACATTGAAAGGATATGATATATACACGGTAAAACAGACTCATAAGAAATTTTACATTAGGAGTAATCGTAAGTTTTCAGTAATTTTAAATTAATGGTGATTTATTGCTGGTGACCGAAATAAGATTATTCCGACTCAGCTTCACTTAACTTTGGATTCAAGTTAAAAGAATTGTAAGATGTAGTATTGTGGTGAGAGCTGGCTGTTAGTTAAAATTGGTGGACAGTAATTTACGCCAATGTTTATGTCCCCAGTATTGGTCGTGAGAAAAATGAGAACAAAGGCTTTGCGTAGGCGGATACAGTTAGCATATAGATGATCTGACATTCAAGAAACAGCCACAAAAAGAAGCAAGGTTAACTTTCTGTGAGAAACAACCAATCAGAAGACTGTGTTTTTCCGCTAACAATAATCTATAATATGTACATGAAAATGTATAAATATGTGTTGATTTCAATAATGAAGGATCTGTTGCCTGGCCATTGGCTTCTGTTGTTACAGTATGATTTCTGAAAAGATTGTGAAATATAGAATTTCATGTAGCAGTTTCCATGTTATGCTACGTTTGTTGTACTAAACAGAAGTGCCAATATCAAGTTGATTTTCCCCTCCACGACTTCTGGGTCTGTTTATTTGTTGTTTTTTTTCTGTAAAATTAATTATCTACTTCCTGAATTCAATGGGAAGCTTTCATTCATATCCTAGTTTAATGTTGGAAAGATAGACTACATTTTGTTCAACCTACTGACTAAAATCAGTAATTCTGTGGTGGAATGATACAGACAAAGTGTGCCAACGGATTATTATTATTACTGTTATCTTGGGTTCCTAGTGGAACATAGGGCTTCAACTGCACGTCTCCACTTGCTTCTGTCTTTTGCTGTGCTTTTCACTTGCATTCATGTTCGTCCATACTGTTTCAACTCCTCTGTCACCCACCCTTGGACGTCCCACTCGCCGCTTCCCTTTCGGCCTGGTTCCACTCGAGCAATGGCCTGACGCGCGCGCGATGTCACCCAGCGGTCTCCTCAGCCACGAGTGTCCAATCCATCTCCACTTTCTCCCGCATATTTGTTGGCTGGCGATTGGTTCTTGTTTTGTTTGTTTGTACCCATAGTTTCTTGTTGGTGATTCTTTCCGACCCAGCCATCTTATCTTCAGTATAGAAGCAAATACAGTTGTTGATAAAAGTCTGCAGTGACCTGTAGGAAATATTCTTTGTGACCCGCCCGCCAAGTTTCTGATCCGTATGGAAGAAGTGAACCAACGGAATATTATTCTCACATATTCCCACATTTCAATTCGGTATTAACAACAGAATACGATATATATATAAACAGTGGTTTGGACAATGGAAAATATACCTTGGCTTCCGTGTCTTGCCTTCTGTTATTACGCTACTAAATCTAGAACATATTAAATTTCAGGAAGTGTACAAAAATTATACTTGAATATATATTAATGAACTTACTGGTTCTGTAAATTCATTCTGGGTCAGGAGTAAAAGTAGCAACCATTTTAACAAGAAAAAGGTGCCCGGTTTGGTGATATTGTCTGAAGCATAGGGAATAACATATTAGGCACAAAATATATCCTACCTAAAAACATGAATGCAAATGTAAATGCAATCCCGAATTCGTATGCAGGAACATCTGAGAGGTAAATTTGAATGACAAAAAAATATGGGAATTAGTAAACCATTTTCATAGCATTACTAGAAAAGATGGAGTATACATGAACTGTAAAAAGGATGTCATAAAAGGTAAAAAACACTAGTGAATTCGGCATCTTCATCAATTGTTGTCACCTTAAGGTTGCGTAGAAATTACATGAGAGTGAATAATAATTAGAATCTTCAGCATGATCTTACTTTACACTTATCTATGTACGAATGATCTTCATTTGAAGAATGAGTCAGTCTAAGCGTCATTAATGTGTTTAGCCAAGTCGTATGTTGCAGACACAGATTATGGTAGATTTTTATATCAGATATCTGGAAGGGAGGTTCGGCCGATCCTAATATCCGTTCAGATTCGACCACTTCTATTACATGTTTAAATAAGGACAAGTCAATCACAATCCCATAAAAACGACCAGTGGAGTTAGTTCATTTAACGTTCAAATGAGAATGTGTTAATAGTTCACTGAAGTATTCAGAAGAGAAAAGTCTTATAAAATCAAATCTGTTGGAGTGTAACAAACCTTTCACAAATATGAAGATAGGAGAATTATGTATAACGGATTACAATAGAAATAACCAGTAATAACTACCGAAAGTAGATCAATAAGACTCAGATAATTGACACATTTGTCCCGCTTAAAAGCTGAAGAGTGTGATGTCATTCACTCATCTCAAAACAAGATCGATAGTTCCATCATTGTACTTCCGGTTTGCTTGTATTTCAGCAACAGAACTATAGTGTAGGATTATTCGTGCCACTATGTAATTCTCTTTCTGAAATATATTCTATATTTGTAAAAGGAATATGCGATTATTAATTGCGTTACATCTTTACAGCTATTTTGAAAACACTATCATATCTATTCGATCATATACTGAGAGAAATGAAAGATTCACTCGATCATTTCGGGAGGACGTACTATGTTAGTAGGTTCAACAAACAATACTCATTATATGGTCAATAGTCATCTTAATAACATCAGTAACACCTTACTTCAGTGATTATGTTAAGTTATATTGTGGTGGTGTGATACAGACAATTCGTACCAACGGAATATTATTCTCACAGTTTACTACGGCATTAGCAACAGAATATGATATATCTATTTGATCATTGTGTTTCATGTCGTTTGATGTAAACCTTAATCACATGATCAGTGATGAGTTAACGAATATAAACTATATATATACCTTGGCTTCCGTGTCTCACCTTCTGCTGTTACAATATGACCCATTTTGTTTTACAGTTATTTAATTGAGCTTCTCTGAAAGTGAAGTATCTTAATAAGGTGTCTTTATTTGGTAATCTGACATCTAGAATGAAGTTATCGAAGCCTAAGTAGAACTTTTGGCTGCGGATAAAGAACATGAAATTTAATGATGTTATGAGCTTTGAATAACTGATTCTATTTCACTGAATTATGTATGGTAGGAAGCTTTGTTAACAGATATGCCACCAAAACAATGACCGCTGATCTTAGTCATATGGTAAATTGTAAGCTTAATGAATTGAGTTATGACCTGGAATAGGAACCATAGATCACATTGTGGTGAGAGTTGGCCGTTAGCCAAAACTGGTGGACGGTAATTTACACCAATGTTTATATACCCAATATTGGTCGTGAGAAAAATATGAACAAAGACTGATTCAACAACCAACCACAGCAGATTTTGCGTAGGGGATACAGTTAGCATATAGATGATCTGACATTCAAGAAACAGCCACAAAAAGAAGCAAGGTTAACTTTCTGTGAGAAACAACCAATCAGAAGACTGTGTTTTTCCGCTAACAATAATCTATAATATGTACATGAAAATGTATAAATATGTGTTGATTTCCATAATAAAGGATCTGTTGTCTGGCCCTTGTCTTCTGCTATTACAACAATACTCATAGTTGGTTATTTAGTACCCTTTTTTCTGCATCATACTTAAAGGTGTTAAAACTTGAATCGTTACAGAAAGTTGTATGTTTTTCTAACCAATTGGTTGTTTACGGACTAAATGGGTATTTTATAGCAACTATCAAGAAGTTAATATAAGATTGAATGTTTTAAGATAAATAGTGTTAACAGACAGTTAAAAGAAACTTAAGTCCTTTAGGAAAATAAATTAAAGAATTTTTGCCATATACTTACAGCTAGGTAAACTTTTGACAACTGTACTCAGTGCACATTTCCATGGGTCTATGGGATTCACTGTAATGTCTACAATACCATAAACCTACAAATCAATGTCATTAGCTTTAATTTATATTTTGAAACTTACTTTAAACTGCCATTGATACGATTGACCAGCTTTGTTTAGAAATGGAACACCTGAAACAAAGCATCTCCTTCCAAACGAAAGTTTGTGAATCAGTTTACCTGAAATGTTTCACAGCTTTGATTTCATTACAGAATTTTTGCGAGATAATGTAGACGCATGTTAATTAGGACTGCATTCAATGAGAATAAGTTGTTTTTTTTAAAAAAAATTTGTTGGGCCAGTTATAGTTGACGTACGATTACTTCATCAAAAACTCGAGTGCTTTCATCGTTGTCATAAAGACAGATGTATTCTATAAGCAACTCTTGTTGCTCACGCTTACGTTGACAAGCATCTTAAACTCATCATTTCCTTTCTTAATGACTCAACTGCTGCAGCCTAATCCAGCTGATAACTGTTATACTGATGTAGTGGTCGGATGTGCAGTTACAACGACTGATGAGCTCTAATTACTGGAGAGAATGTTGCTATAAATTCTAAACTCTCAGAAAGCTCAGATACTAATGGGTAGTCGCATATGCATCTACCGGGATGAAACGAAGCAACAATGCTGAGTAGTATGACTACAGGAATGTTCAAGTTTTGTGATGATGAATTGTAGGTTAAGGTAACTAAGTTATTACCAGTTGTGGCTCACCTGGATAGATATAGTTCGTTGATCGTCCCTGTTTATAATAAAAGACATAAATGTATCTGTAGCAATCTCATGGAGATCAGACTGAATAGCACAGTGTCTAAGATTCTAGATCCATATGCCTACGAAGAACGCTGATGAAAACCACGTAGGTTTAAAGATTGAATGAGGGTGCAATAATTGGTTCTTTGCCTTCCGCAGGTTTTGGAAAAGATTACAGAATTAATGGTGTCCATCACTTAGCATGTTTCTTAACCTGAAGGCGGCATTTGACTCCATCGAGCTAGAGATGATCTGGCAATGTATACTTGAGAAAGAAGTGTCGAGAAAGTATACTGTACTAATCAATTCACTCTGCCAGAACTTATCTAAAGTAGGGACTAGTGTCGTAAGTCAGGCATGCACAATGACACCAATTCCACTCAATTCAGCTATGGATTTCCTCATGGAGGTGACCTAGCTGACGTTTACGTCTTAAGAACTGGACTGTTACTTTGGTAAAGTTCAGTTGGTTTAGAGTAATCCGAAGATATAGTTTTCCTTTCACTTATTCAGGGATATAGATTAGTCACCATGATCTGATTATTGACAAAATCTCATCATGGATACCGAAGGCTCATCTAGCGTTTGCCAACTTGCGTCACCATTGTCGTAGGCGTGATATATAGCTATTTATCAGAGGACATATGTACTACGTAACAGTTTGCTGTGTCCTTTTTTGGTTGTGCGTCTTGGCTTTTGATGGTGTAACATATAAACAGACTGGTCGTCCTTGACTATGAATTTCTGCACCCCACTTCGTGTTGCCGGTGTAATATGATCCGCATTAATGTGGTCGGACTCACAGCCCTAGGCAAGAAGGGAAGTCAGTCAAATAATTTGAGAAACTCCATTGACTGAAATGACTACTACTTGCGTTACACATGTCGGGCCGTCTCATTCTTTTCCGATCAATGTTAGCTGTTATAGGATTGGGTTTGAAAAGAATTATGACAACACCCATAAAGTTTTTGACTGCTGGTTTCAACCTTGTAAGGTGTATGTTTCTTGGCTGATTTCCTTGGGATGACAGAAATCAATGGTTGATGATGTGGCTATAGACCGTTTACACCGATGCCGATGAATGCCGCCCTTTTAATTTCCCATATTTTAAAATTCCTCACTAATCTTTGTCCAATTGTTTCTCTTTTATACACCCCCTTTGTTTCTGCTTTCGTAAAGTGTGTCTATTGTACATTTGTGAAAATGTTTGTACTGGTAATTCAGCCGGTCACTCAACCTACTTTGATGAGCGGTAGCTTGTCATTTCTTAGCAGTTTTAGTCTGTAAAGATATACCATCAACTAATTAATCCTCCCCTTTTAAAATCTATGTCCACTTTGAAAGTGGTATACCATCTACATTCATCTAACAATAGCAACATTACAAAGATGCATTTTGTTAAAATTTATAACATCTTTCTATCTTTTAATTTTAGAAGCTATGTGTCACAGCCGGAAGACATGACAGGAGGATTCTCTCGACAGTACGCAAACTGTTTTGTAGATATCCGTATAAATAGCAGGAAATTAAGATAACAAACATTGATGAACTTCAAACGAATTTTCTGTATTCATGCTGGGATTGTTTCGGCAACCATCTAATCTGGATCATGCACCTCCTAGAGAGGTGGTCAAAAGAAGCATATCTCTTCGTTACTGCAGACTATCCATGTATCAATTTCTAACAGTGGACAAAAACAAACTACTTGCTAAATATAAAAGAATTTTTCTCTGGGAGTTGATAATACTACGATTGTCATCTCGTATAGAAAAGGACTATGTCATTTGCTTCGTCCAAATTATCAGGTCTTTCCATGAGCTAATATCATAGAAATCAATAAAATGTATATGGCTCACTCACCAAGCACAAAGCACCTGATGCTTCTTTTGACTCTGAATCGATCTAGAATGGTCCCTGTTTCTTTGTCCTGTCTTGGAAGTAAGAGAAATTCTACTGTTTCTACAAAATAGATTGTTAATTATTGGTGTATACATTGATAGACAGAATTTTCATAATACCTTAATATTAAGAAATTAATGTGACCTAAGACTTTTAGAACTGACATGGTTTTGTATTTTTGATATATTTATTTCCTGGTGACTAGGCTGGACAGTTTTGAATACCTCATGTGTCACACAGATTGGGACATTTTTATTCCCGATGTTGCAAATACATTCACGCCCCTCTTAATCTTCCATACCCAATAAACTGTCAAGATTTTTGGTGCTGTTGTTCTCTCCTTCACATATTTCTGACTCTTATAATTTACCTTCATGTGCTAAATGAAGTGTGGCATTTTGAACTACTGAACTTCTATGTTAAGTTCTATGTTGAAACTCAGTCAGTCAGTTTTGGATAAAAAGTCAAATCGAATAAATGTATACATATTTAGACAGGTTGTTAACCGGTTTATTTTTAATCGTATTTTATACCTAAAATTAGGTTTTCAGTGGTATAATCAACAAAATTAATTGCAAATCTTCACTAAAAGAGTTTGAAGATATCTTCAAAGAATTGAAAGTTACTCTTTGTAACACACAACTTACTAAAAAATGTGAAATCAACTAGAAGATATGAATTAGTACTTGTAAAATAATTGACTGCATACTGCTAGATAAATGGCAGTAGAAAGACAACAGCTTTTGTCATCGAACAGATTATAACTACCTCTTTCAGGATTTAGAAAGTTAGTATTTTTAGAAGCAAATCCTAGTAAGCCTTACGAAAATGGTATTACGATATTTTTTTAATATCTGTTGTACAGTGTGCACATGGATATAAACAACCAGAGAAGTATAATCAACATTCAGGCATCCACTCTAGCTAATCTGTTTTAATAATCTTAGCCGAGTACTTAAAAGTAAGCTTAAGTTTCCTCTAAAACCTCAGACAAATGATCGGAGCAGTTGTCCTAACTTAACTGTCATATATGTGTGCATTCATATACATTATTTTATTCTGTTATTGGTTTAAACTCAGCAAAATCTTGTTTCCTAAGGCTGCTCACACACATTTACGGAGATTAGAAAAAAGACATTTTAGCTCTGTAGACTGATCCCGTTATCTTTATTTTGTCAACTGTAATCCTCTCCTTAATTGATGCATTATCAGACAACTACGTCATAGTAGCTAATGAGACGTCTGCATGTACCTTACACTTAACATTTATACCACTTTCATAATTTCTCCAAAAGCTCTGATAAACTTCGCTAAGTATGGCTGTTAAACTTAACGTGTGTGGGGTAAATGAAAGCATATATAACAGTGTGGACAAACATTGAATATGCAATAAAATACCTGCAGTCTATCTTCACCTCAACGAAGGACTAAAGTGGAAACTTAATCAGCGCCATTCAAGTGGTACCTGGGTTACTTCTATTGTAGACAGGAAAATTTCACACAGGTTTCCGTATTACTCTAGGAAGTTATTTTTTCTTAGACAGAGTTGATATAGAATGCTCAGTATGCCAAGCAGAAGTAACTTGGTTGTTGTGGTTTTATTTCCAATCGAAAGTTGGCTGTGTTGAAGGGTCAAAAGATGAAGTACTTCTGGAGCTGACCAGTAAATCCCCTATTTTGCTTATGTGCTCACCTTTTTAAATAATGTCGGAGGCTCAGGTACTGATACAAAGCATAATTATAGGCGGACGTTTTAGTTGTATATTAACAGGGAAAATACACATATGATAAGATGATCTGTAGATCAAATGAATATATTTGAAAACAAGAAAACACTTATTCAACCTGTGAAGCTATTTTTTCACTTTTCTGATTACCGAAAAAAGTAGCCAAAAGTTTCAGATTACCTGAGAATGATCTCTTTTCTATCTCTTCTTTCCCTTCTTTATTGCAATATTTACACCGAGGCCTAGATTTACGTGAAAAAACTAAAATCCTTACTTATTTCTAACTTTCGGCATACAAGTTTCATGTTGAACGAGGAAAGCATTTTTTCCTGGACATAAGCTGTCCTGACATGAATATATGATCGCATTAGTGGTCATATAAATTGGTGTTATTCCTATAACAACTCCTTCTATGAAAGTCAGGCGGTCAAATGTAAGTGATACATTTTTAAAATGTAATCTTTGTAAAAATATTAAAAGGTGCTGATTACTCTGGAATGCACAATATATCGGTGAATTTTAATTCAAGGAGTATATAATTCATGTCGTCATCTTCACAAAGTATGTCAGCTTCGATTGCGAGGCAAAATATTATCTAAAGAACAGTAAAAAGGCAAGAAGTTACACCTACAAAAGTAGAGGAACAAGAGACACGTCGTTTTGCCGTCTAAAGGCTATCACATTAAATAAATTACAGCGATGTCAATGAAAATTGCAACTTACTGTTATTATAACATATCAACAGAAGCAAATCTACTATTGAACAGCTTACTTATGTGGAACGACGACCATTTTAAGTGTTTTAGAAGACAAAAATACTTGAGCAGTAAATAATAATACAACGCTTACAAAATGCGGCAGAAGGTGGTTGTCTTTTCACAACCATTCCAGTTTTACTTACGAGAATGGAGGATAAACCACCTGACTTTGCCACCTCTCTGTGTATTCATCATTCTGATTGCTGCTGTGGAGCCTGTTACATTTAGCACACTGTTCAGTACGTTCGTCACTGAATTTCTGAACGCCATCCAGCGTGATTAAAGACGGAATAAACTATGCCTATTTGCATTTGTTTCAGTCCACCTCATGGATGCCGAACACAAAGTCTAGGGCATTTAAAGTTATCTGCGCTACTTCGATTAATCTTTTTTTTTAAAGATTTCTTATTTTACATATACCTGACGCTGTTGGAAACCACCCGAAGAAGCCCAAATTAGGTGTTCGGATACTTTACCCAACTTGAACATCTTTACTTGATTTAAAAAATCTGACAATTACCCCTTATCTTTAAGCCTTTCACAAACTGTTATTGTTGAAGTTGTTCTTAATTATGGTACGGATTTTTCTTAATTTTGCCCAATATTCAGTTTAGCACTACACTTTTATGCACCTTATCACTTGAACATGTTTTTCTGGCAGTCATAATGACTCGATATGATTTGAAAAACATCACAATTTTCAGCGAAAATTATTTTTTACATGTGTACATACGACTGAAGAGACAAACGAGGAAGTTACCGGGTAGAATATTCTTTGTCGCCCTCTAAATGTTTGAGTGAGGAATTTCACATGATTAAGTTGCTTAGTTACATTGGAATTAATTTTTAGTCAGACAACCTACGAAAGCGTTATCTTCTTGTTCTTACTTAATTAGTGATGGAAATGAAAACCACCAATATTCCAAAAGCATAATCGAGAGTCACCGATGAAAACATAGTCAGGAAATTACAGAGTGATAAAACTAGGTAAACTTCAAATTCATCACCTTATTCCAGTCAGACATGTCAAAGTTTTTGTCCTTATACAGGACGAACGGAAGAAACGTTTATGCATGCAAACAGTCGACTACGTATAACTTTAGGACGTTGACGTGGAACGAATTCCCCCAAGAAAGTGTGCTTTAATAATGCACTGGTACACCACTAGCCTGAGATAAATCTAAATAAACTGAAATTTGTATGGCGAGTGGCTTATAAAATAGTCAATGTGCTTCGCATACCAATTTCCCTTTTCTAGCAATATCAGTATTTTTACCAGCATAATTTTCTACTAAAACGCTTTTAGCTTCCTTTGCAAAGCCATGCGTTATAACAGCTACAGGATTGAAGTTATCCACTAAACAGAACATACAGGAAGTTAATTCTATAATATTTATTCGGAGTTGATATATTAGAAGTTACCGTGGCAAACATTTGTAACTGTACTGATTCCACAATTATTAAACAGTACAACATTAAACCAACCTTCTGAAGCATCTTTTCGAGAGTGGAGACCCGGTTGATCATTTCAATCACAGAAGATCCTGAAAAAATACAATTACTCATAGCAATCTAGTACACCATACCTAGAAACTCCACCAATTCATGAAGACGAAGATGTATAGGCACAATGGACACAGGACGTCTCTAAAAGGATTATGCATGATTATAATTTTTGAAATTACCTTTTCACATAATGTTTTTATTAGACGGCTTTTAACTCGTGACAGAAATGAATCACGTTCTAAATACCTAATAACAGAAGAATACAACGAGAACGCATCCATTATTTAAGTAGTGTGCGCCACCATTTATGAAAACAAAAACATGGGTGGTTCCAGTATCACTTTTACGAGCTAAGACAGGCTCAGTTGATTTCTTTGTGCTCGCTCCTTGGTTGTAAGTTAAAGGTCCCCGACTTTCGGCAAACGCCTGCGTAGTTCACCAAGCCACCAACTGTCGTAGCTTCGGTTGACTCAAAAAGGAGTGGTGCTGAGGCACATGTAGCTTTTAGTATGCGGAGTGTTAAGACCTCGCTGCTGATGTGAGTGGGGTTGATCCTTTCACCCGTTAGTCGTCTGATGTGGTCGAAAAAAGATAAAACAATAATAATATTAGCAATTAGTATAGGTTATGTAGACTACGAGAGAAAAGGAAAAAACGTAAAAACAAACAGGAAATTTGAAATTGATATACAGTTACATCTACAAGAATAATAATGTAAGAGATGCAATAGCTGGAATAGAGAAGAAAGTAGGACGAGGAAATATGGAGAATCAAGAGGATTAGTTCAGGTGTCCACCCGTTTATAGTGTGTGGGTTTAAGGGGATAATGTGCCTGGACGCAGTCCTTGTGTCGCTGCATAACTGTCCAGCCTTCTTTTAAGGCCATTCACAGGCAGTACAGTAGAAACCTTTGCCGGTAGAGAGTTATAGTGACGAAAAACACTCAGGGAAAAGAAATGATAGTGCAGTTAGTCTTTGCCCTCTGGTGAGCAGTTCATCATGAACTCCTGCGAAGAAGCGTATGCGTACTAAATGTCAAAACGCCATTGTTTGGGTAATTCTGGCCATCTGTGACCCTGTAGGCAGTACTCAAGAACCCATTTAAGCCTACGTTAGCTAAGTATGAATCGACCTTATTCATTCAGCCGTGCATCACACGGTTTGTGTCCGATACCAGTCACCCCTTTTGAAATCTCCGAAAATTCAATGTCTGTTGTAAGGGGAGTGCAACAGTGTTGTTCACTTCAAGGTTCTGTCCTACTTATGTTTTTTACAAACTTAGAAAGAGCCCAGGGTAAGTGCACCTGTTTATGTGTAAAGTTTTTGACCAAATATACCCTCGCTACATCGCCCGTGTAATTCACGCTTGTGTCCATTTCTCCGTTAGGACGGAACCTAGTTCACGCTCCGACTTTGTGCGGGACAAGTTTTCATTTCACATTGCGCAACTTGCATTTCGCAGACTGAAGAGGCGTTATTGCACCACCTTTCAGTTTTTAAGGCTGAAAGTTATACCACTGACCGCTGCCCAGACTTCCAGGTCTGGGTCTTCTGAGCACTTTATCGCTCCCCGAATTTCTGCGTCGTCAGCGTACAGAAAATTCAGGGAGCTTAGGTCACTGATAAGAATCAGATTCATCAGTGACACTAGGATAGAGCCTTGCGATACCCCTGGTAACGAGCTCAGCCAAAATGAGCGGATACAGTTTATCTTAGCGCAGAATTTCCTCCCATCTAGGTGGTCCTCAACCATGACAGAAGCGGCCCACCTATACCTGCCCCACTTATTATGCATACGAGAACGTCATGGTGAACTGTGCCAAATGCTTTCCGAAAGTCTAGGAAGACAACATTGATTGGAACACTCATATCTTAGCATGACGTCTAACCGTTCCAGACTATAAGCGGTTTGATATAAGTATAAGTAGCAGTTCGTTGCTCAGAATCTACCTCTCCTGAAACCATGTGGTGCCACGCGGAGTCTGTCAGTCCTGTCGAGAACTTACCTGATGTGATCATCAGTTATACTTTCCATTAGTTTTGGCACCACTGCTAGTAGCGCTATTGGCGTATAACTGATGGCATTCCTCCTGTCCCTGCCCGTGTGAATCGGAGAAAGGATGGCTCTTGACCACTTCCTTAGTAGTTTCCCCCTATCCACTGGGTTCTGAACAAGGTTGCATTAGGACGAACATACAGCTCTGGCGCATTGTTTGGCAACAGATGGCCTGGTGTCACCACATCCTTGAGACTTTTCGGATGTGAATCCCTGTAACTTCCTTAGCACTATCGCTAGATTTATTTGGACGGTAGCCACTAGATTATCCTTCAGCTAAATAGCAGCGCCTCTTTCATGGCCGATACTAGTCAAACATGCATTGCTGTTTGGATGTTCATCAAAGGCTAAACTGAATGCTGCAGCCATCTCCAGGCTGGCGAGTTATTGACTGTTTGGAAATACTAAGGTGCATGCCTCCTGGTTGTTTGGTTTTCTCTCCGACATGATTCAGTAGAGGCTTTTATTATCCGCCAGGAGATTTTCGGTAAGTTTTGATTGAAATAACCTCCTGTCACTCCTGATTGTTGTGTTTCATCGCTTCCTGAGTTCCAAGTATACATTGTGGTTGATCTGAATCTTGGAGATTCGCCACGTAGACAAAGTCTTTTGCTTTGCTTTATGATTACGTTCCATTCCTCTCCTCAGTCATGAGGACGTTTTCTTCGTCTGTGTTGTGACTAAAGAGACGGTATCCAAACTGCTGGGTGAATAATCTCTTTTATAAGTTCCCAATGGTCGGGCTCCACGCTGAAGTTCAATTGGCCAGAAGATCTGACAATACACCACCCAGAGCCGATTGCTGAACAAGTGTATAGGAAAAAACGGGAATGGATAGGGAATACATTGAGGAAACCACCGGATGATATCGCACACCAGACCATTACTCGGTTGAATCTCAATGAGAACTGACTAGTGGGTTGCCAGTGCGAAGGTGACGTGGAGGAAATCGTGTGAGGTGGAGACAAGTGATTATGGTCAATCGTGGACCCAGATGAAGAGGACATCAGAAAATAGAGCAAAGTAAGTGTATGTTAAACCAAATTAACCGTAGTCAAGATTTGACAGAATAGTTCTATAATATTTGGGCGTCGAGTGAGAAGTAGACATTTGTAAAAAATTATATTTGTAAAGTCTCAGCGATATTGAATTGAGTAATTCCAACGTTTCGTTCGGAAATCTGGTCCGAACTTCTTCAGGGAAACTATTCGAAATTAACATAACAGGTTTATACATAAAAGGAACATCTTTTGTTTTTAAAAACTTTGTCCAAACTTTGGGCTGAATTTATCCAGCATGCTCAAGGTCATTAACGGAATGAGAAGCTCAAAGGTAATTTTCGTCCATGTTAGTCGGCCATGTCGGATTGCATTTCCGTAACCGTTCGTTTGCACATCGGTTTTCCCGTGTATCCTGCATTTATTGACAACCCATCTTGATGCGCATTGGGCAAAGTTAAACTTTAGACACCACTAACAACCAATCAGCAAACGACCTTGAACGGACCAGTCACATTTAAGAGGCATATATGATGAATGGAAATGTATATTTGTAGAAAAAAGCATAAAATAGAGAATAAAAAAGTTACATGGGATATCTTTCTCGAACATGTGAGAGAAACATCTCCCAGTTTAGCATGGGACTGCCAATGGAGAAGTTACACCATATCCTGTACATATATTTATTCAAATGACCATAAATGAGATCCTTTTGAGATCCATTTATAGCCCTTTTCCTATTTTTCAACCTGCCTCGAAATCCTTCAATAGAATTTGTATGTGTCCTCGTAACGGGATCCACAAAATCACTTGAATGGTTGACTCTATGATGAATATATCCCAGGGATGACAGTGAATTGTAGCCTTTCCACTTGTCGGTGTGTATAATTGACCCCCGCTTAACAAGTCTGGTAATAATAGGTATAAGAGTAGTTGCTTTTCTATCTGCTATTCTTAGGGAGAGAAGCGACCTAGCGAAAAAAGTTCCTACGAAATATTAAAATTATCAGCTTACTCTCTCTAGCGTTAGTAGGCTTCAAACATATAGCACAACGATGAACAAACCCATCAGTTGATTTGGTATAGCTTTCTAAAGTCATGATACCACCACACAAACGAATTCGCTCTTTCGGGAGAAACTCAAATCCAGGAAATACTGGAAGACGCTAACCTCCTCGAATTGCAACAATAGCTTTGTAAGGTCACGCATTAGAAATGAATCAAGCGCTATAAAACATTGAACTGAGTTCGTGAACCTCATTGGATAATTCGATATCGTTCGTGAATCTCATTGGATAATTCGCTGATTGGTAGTTAGTGGTGTCGAAAGTTTAACTTCGTCGCGCATTGTTCACGAATGCTGCTTTTCACCTCATTTTCGTTTTTGTTGCTGTTTAAATGACTTATTTTGTATGCTTCGGAAGTTTTTACCACCAGGGCAGTGCATTCATTTCATTACAATTGTTTCACACGTTGTTTTCATCCTGGTTGCAATGTTTTAGTTGTTTTTCAGCTATTAATGAAGTAGTTCTGCGCAGAAGTTTTGAAACATATGCACGTGAACTTGTTTAGCTGACAAACGATGTTGGTCTTGGTCCATTTGCTGATTGCCGTCGTTGTTTCTTGCTCAATTGATTAAGTAGTATGTATAAATCTGAAAAAAACAATGTCTTTCACATTCATGTTTACAGCTTGCAGCAATCTGCGAGTCAATCTGGTGAGGAGGATACGATCAGGTTCGATATTGGCACGATTTACGAAGAGCATATTAAACCTGGAGATATCAGAACGTGGTTTGAATTTGCAAAAGCTTTGAAGCTTTTCGCGAAGCTGAGTATACCATCAGTGTACATTATCAGTTAAAGAATCAGATATATTGTCAGAGAATCTAAATCAAACAAGTTTGAGTCACATGAGAAGCATGAATCTGCTGTGTCTGTATGTAGTTTTGGAACTGAACGAAACTTGAAAGCAGTGAGAAACCCCTGAATGGTAAGTGTTACCTATGTTTATTAATGCCCAATGTACTAGATCCAAATACATGAACTAAGACCGTCTGTAGCAAAGCCAGGGTTAACAGCCATTCAGTGTTTTGCAAAACCACTTCAAAAGCGGATAACATGGTGATCTGCTGAGTGTACGAACTATCCCAGTTAAAGGTAAGACTTTAATTAGCAAGAATAACACTCGAGTTGTGGTCTACAACAAGCTGAGGAGCTGATTGTTATTCGGGGTGAAATTATTCGTTGAATACAGATTGCTTGTTTCATTTCAAATAATGAAATTC